TACACACACGCACTTTTATATCAATCATTTCGTTTCAACTCCCTTCACGTCAAAATCGAGGAATGACCTGGAGAAGACGTGATAACGTTTATGAACTTAAAATAGCAGGAATAATAAAAACAAACAGAACTTTTGTTTTGAAGTCCAATGATCTCTCAAGAAAGCGAAAAGGCCCCTATCTATCTATTTATTTATTTATTTATTTATTTAATCTTATTTATCTACTCTTTTTTTTTGGCTCGTGTCTGGTCTGAAAGCCATAAACGTCTTACCTCGGAATAATATCAAGGTCTTGGTTCAAAATGATGAATCTTTATGTGACGTGAAAAGTTTATTTATTACGAGAAAAGAACAACAAGGAAGAACCTCGTATCCCCCCAAAATCTCAAACTATAATGCTCCAGGTATTATCTGCCCCCAAACGGGATTGGATTGCGTTTAAATCTAATCCATAAAGATGAATTTCCATGTTGAATAAAGGCACGTCAAAGGCCGGAACAAAGGCTTATATTATAATTCAGCCCCAGCCGTTAATTAAATACACACGTCACACAGAACGCTGCCCCCAACCCATGCACCTCTCCCCTCTCCTTATCATCAGTCCCCATCTCAAATCTACGACCGTTCTCCTTTTCTCCCCCCCCCCCCCCCTTTTAACTTTTTTTTTTGGGTCTTTTTTTTTTTTTTGGGGGGGGGGGGTTCTTTTATGCTCTGTTTTTCCTTCATTATTATTTTTTTCCATTTCAGTCCATTTTTGTGTATTTCATATCTCATAATTTCTCCCCCCCCCCCTTCTCCACCTCTCTCTTTTTTCAACTCCCCCGTCCCCTCTTTCTCTGTGGGTCTGCCTATCGATCTGTCTGTCTCTTTTATCTGTTTATCTAACTCGCAGAGATTTATGTATACATACACACACACATACACACACACAGACACACACACACACATACACACACACATACACACTCTTATACACGCGTATAAAAAAATTACACACACGCCCGTGAACACTCACAAAATATCTTCCTTGCCTGCTCTCCCTCTCATTACCAGTTCCCCTCTCGTCTTCCCGTCTGTCGATCATTTATTGTCTGTAGATACCCCCAACTTGTTTCGCTTCAAGTCACTTCATTTGTTTTTCCGAAGCTGCTTGTGTTTGTGAAATTCTGCATGCCGAGCCC